AGAGAGAGAGAGAGAGAGAGAGAGAGAGAGAGAGCGCACAGGCAGGACAAAATACAGTTCCAAGTGAAGGACAATGACAGGACCCTCTGAGTCGAAGAATGCCCAGGGCTCAGTAGTCACCAGAACCACTGACGTTCCTCTGAGCGATGAGACATGAAGTGGAGACTGCGGAAGAGCCACCCCTTAGGAATGAGGCTCAATTAGCTCTAGAATCATGGCTATTGATGAACAGCCTTTAAAATATCTTAGAAACAAACTTCAAAAGAATCTTATTAATCCACAAATAATTAACTGACTATCATAAAAAGGCCAACATTCTTTGAAGGAACACACACAAAAATATCCAAGATTCAACAAGAGAAAATTAAAAATATCTGGCATTAGTTGTTTTGCTTTTTTTAAATCCATAAGAAGAGCCCAGCTTGTGTGGCTCAGTGGTTGAGCATCAACACAGGAATGAAGAGGTCATTGGTTTGATTCCAGTCAGGGCACTTGCCCGGGTTGCAGCCTCAATCCCCAGTAGGAGACATGTAGGAGGCAGCTGATCAATGATGTTTCTCTCTCAGCAATGCTTCTATCACTCTATCCCTCTCCCTTCCTCTCTATCTAAATACCAATAAAAAACATATGTAACTCCATATGAAAAAGCAAGGAAATGTGACTCATAATGAGGATAAAAATCAGTCAATAGACATAAAGCCCCAAATAACTGAAATAATGGTATTAGCAAAAATATACATTAAAATTGCTAACATACATATGTTCCAACTGCTTAAGCACATAAAGGAAATCATGAGCACAAAGAAAAAAGAAGTTGAAGACTGTAAAATACCCAAGTAAAATATCTAGAGAGGAAAAATAAAATATAACATTTATAAAAGTCAAGATTAGATATCACAGAAGGAAATTAACTTTTAATTAATAGCAGTATAAACTATCCAAAATAAAAAAACAGAGAGGAAAAATACTTGAAAAAAAAAAACAAAACTTGACCTCAATGACTTAGTGGACAATATAAAATATACTAATATACTTGTTATTAAAGCCCCAGAAAGGGAAGAGAAAAAATAAGACAAAACAAACATTTGAAGAAATAATGACTAGGTTTTTACCAAATTTGATATAAGAATTTAAACTCCAACTATGACGACAGAAAAAAAAATCACATCAAAGCATATTATTATTAAATTTTCAAAAACAATGAAAACTATACTTTAATGGCAGCCAAAGGAAAAGCAAACATAAGAATGACAGCAGACTCTTCACCAGACACTGCAGTCCAGAAAACAGTGGAGTGGCCTTTAAAACTGTCAATCTAGAATTTTATATGCATCAAAAATAACTTAAAAAATAAAGGTAAAATAAAGATCTTTAAAATCACAGAGGATTCATGAGCCACACAATACATCAGCAATCTTACCCTTAGATGCCTATTCTATTAAAAACTAAGCACACGCATCCACACACACAGTAAATACACGTGGGTGATATCTAGAATTTTATATGCATCAAAAATCACTTTAAAAAATAAAGGTCAAATGAAGATCTTTAAAATCACAGAGGATTCATGGGCCACACAATATATCAGCAATCTTACCCTTAGATGCCTATCCTATTAAAAACTAAGCACACGCACACACACACACACACACACACACACACACACACACACGCATCCACACACACAGTAAATACACGTGGGTGAGGATCTTTATTGCAACTGTGTACAGTAGCAGCAAGCCGGGAACATATCATTACTGGCAGCTTGTAAGTTTGCTCATCCCTCTGGGTGCTAGAATGTATGTGTGACCCCACATGAATACTCATGTACTTTTGCAGTCATTCTCGGGCACGTGCAGCGTGACAAAAGATTTGAGTAGCCCACTGCCTTCTGGTTTCAGCTGTCATACTATAAACAAGTCTTCTTTTTGTGGTCCACACAGTGCCATGTTTTCCACATTTTTGTGTTTTTTTGTTGGTGATTACGCTGTTTAAAAATGGCCCCCGGGAATAATGCTTAGTGCCCCCTGGGTTCTGAAGCACGAGAAGGCTGCGCTGTGCCTTACGGGGAAAACACGTGTGTGAGATGAGCCCCGTTTAGGCATGCGTTACCGTGCTGTTCACCACGAGTTCATGTCAATGAGTCAGCAACATACAGTCAATACAATGTCTTTAAACAGAAACACGCATAAGACAAGGTTACGTGTTGATTGGTTGACAAAAGTATTATGACCAGAGGCTCATGGGAACCTACCCTTAGGAACAGTGTTCACTAATCCAGTATTTTTGTGGACTTTATAGAGCATAACTCCCAGGAATAACAAGGACTTTCTGGAGGGACTAAGTGAAGAATTAGGATGTATCCAGCACTGGAGAACATGATGCAGGCTTTAAAGATCACTAAGTCAAGCTCAAGCAGTTGCTTTAAAGCCATTCCCTAAAGTTATTGTTTCTGAGAAAGAAAACCACAGGGAGACGTGGCACTGCTGTAACTTTCAGCTGAGGTCACACGTCTCTGTGTGTGCACAGCCGTCTGTGTGTTGCCTGTGGCTGTATGGCCACGTATCCAGTGACATACACCAGCCTGGCAGCCCCGGGCTCTTGCTGTGGGGCAGTGTGAACACAGCAGAAAAGTAGGGGCAGGGGGCGGTCAGTTGAAGGGAAGCAGCACTTTTGATTAATTTATTCATGTACAATTACCTGTGCAGTATGAAGAGCGCGAAGGCAAACGTAATAGTCCCCGTGCTCTGCCTGTGGGCCAGGGTCTGAGCTGGTGAAGGAGTGAGGTGCAGAACAGTGTGCAGAATGCAACTCTATTTCAGGGACAGATCTGCCTGCCATAAACTTTGAAGTATGAGAATGAACAAAGGGAGGTGCGTTTAAAGAGAGAGAAAGGTTGGGAGTCTTCTGGGGAAAGGCTATTTGTTTTTACGTTTATTTCTATTGATTTGTTTCAGTGGATACAGTACGTATTGTTTTGTTGAAATTTGAAAAAAAATACAAATAAAATGGGGTAAAAGCATCAATTCAATGACTATCATGCAGCGAACGGAAGGGTATAGCCATTTTCAGCTGATGTGAGCCAGTCGGCCTCATGTTGGTTTTGTGAGCAAATTTCGAGAATGTGCTACCTGACAGGATTCTTCACAGCCTGCGTTCTCTCCCTTCTAGGAATCGCTACGAGCCGTCAGGTAAACAGAAGGGTATAGCCATTTTTAGCCGATGTGAGCCAGTCGGCTTCATGTTGGTTTTGTGAGCAAATTTCGAGAATGTGCTGCCTGACAGGGATCCTTCACAGCCTGTGTTCTCTCCCTTCTAGGAATCGCTACGAGCCGTCAGGTACGAGATATCTCCCGATAAGGAGTATGCACTTTTCTCCTACAACGTGGAGCCCGTGAGTACTCCGTTTTCCTGTCTGTGAGAGAAGTGTTTCCTAGGCTCACACCTCACCAAGCACTTTTCCTTGACTCTTCATTCTTAGTGATCTTTGAATAGCGGGTCCTGGGTAATCTCTCTATGTCACACTGCCACCTAGGAGAGAGGGAAGGTATAAAAATTCCTCAACAGAAAATAAAACCACTCCTGTTAGGGGCTATTTTGTAGGATTTTCTTGGGGAGATGGTGCAAAGTTGCATTTTTATAGAGATTTATGTTACCCTGTTGTGCAATTCTTTTTTTGCATTTTCTCAATCACATCATCAATTTTATCCCAAGCACAAAAGCAACTGGTAGTTTCTTGCTAAACTAAAATAAAATGATCATTATCTCCCAAGCATCATAATCTTCTAGAGAAAAGTTGAACTATCACCTTATTATATAAAATCCCTGTTTTTAGCACTTCATATATGAGTCTCCATAAAACGTCACCAGAAATTTCCACAAAATCTCATCCTAGGCACTAGTGGCAGCCTAAAACTGGCTCTTTCTTTCTTCCTTTCTCTTTTCGTTGAACATGATTTAAAATTACTTCTAAATGAGCTTTTTACTTTTAAATGAGCCAGAAGGTGAGGTTTCTTTGTATCCATGAGGCAGATGCTCAGCGTGGAAGAGATTTGCGACTTTAGAAATGTTCGTTTGTGGAACTTTGTATCCTGGCCCAGAAGATGCAGAATTCCACGGCCTTTATCGTTCTTCGAAGGCCATTCTTGTTAGCGTTTCTGCAGCGCCTGCCGGGAGGGAGACAGGTCCCTGCGCTGTGACTCAGGCTGACAGCCCTGGGCGAGGCTGAGAGCATCGTCCCGGCACTGGGCCGGCTTCTTGACTTCACCCCCTTCGGGAACCGGGGGGGTTGGTTGGCATGGAGATGCAAGTCCAATTCTAGGAGTTGTAGAATGTCTTTTAAAAGCTGTTTGATACCTGGATTCTATTGGAGATTTCTGTTTCATTCCTCTCGGTTCAGGGCTTTTCTCTGTCTTCAGTTTTCCGTCTTCTGGGTTGTTGTTGTTTTAAGGTCCGGCCCATAAAAGTTTTTATTTCCTACCTCCAAATCCTTGGGACAACTGGTCACCTTGTCCTGCTGACTGGGGGAAGTTACTGAACTTGACAGCCTTGGATTCTGCACACCCTACAGGGCCCCAGCCTCACCTCTTTGAGCTGCAGATACACAGACCGGGCGTGCGTGGGTGCTGGAGCATTCAGCTCCTCTCATCACCCTTGGGAACTACCAAATGTGACATCCACACCTGAATTTAACAACCACCTCAGCAGCTACGTGACGGACCTTCACAGGGATGGACCGTGGGCTGGTTCTCGATTGCCCGGGGACCCGGCCGCCCGAGTGGGCAGAGCACAGACGGACGGTGTCAGGGCGTCTCGCTGAGCACCTCTCATACTGGGAGCATCCCAACGGCGGGGTGAAGGACCTGTGGCCATGAGCGTCCCGCTCCTAGAGCCATATTTGTTCTCCACAGTCCTGTGGGAGAACCGCGCCTGCTCCTGGAGCGCGGGACCGGTGTGACTCCGGGTCTGTGCTGGGAGGATTCTCCGCCGCCTGCCTGCTCTCCCACCGGCTCTTAGAAAGAGTCCCTGGGATCTCATGGCAGCTGATGGCTGCGGGGAAAGCATTCGGTAAACATGCGCCCTCACCATGCAGACCGCTGGCTGGGAGGGCAGCCTCCTCACCAGGCAGCGTCCACCGTTGGCCTGTGGAGTGAGATTGTGTTCAGTGTTTCTCAACTGAGGGAAATGTGAGCAATTTGGAGTGGATCTGGCAAACTGCAAAATGATTCAAGCATTGATAGCGTGTGCCATGTAACAGATATAGATCCCTGGGACCTGAATCAACAGGTAACTCTTGCCCTGGCTGGTGGTTCTGTTGGTTGGAGCATTGTCCTGTACAGGAAAAGGCTTCAGGTTCAATTCCCAGGTCAGGGCGTGTACAGGAGGCAACAGATTGATGTTTCTCTCTCACGTCGATGTTTCTCTCCCTCTCCCTCTCCCTTCCTCTCTCTCTAAAAAAATAATAAACATATCCTCAGATGAGGATTAAAAAAACAAATTACATTTTTAAAAAAGAAGTACCTCTCATAGTTTCCGGGTCCTGAGCAGTTATGCAAATGACTGTCCAAGCAAGTGTCCTGTTCTTGCGGAGAAAACCATAGAGCAGAAAAGGCTTGGGATTCGGCAGCAAAACTTGGGGTTAATGTTCGGACGAGCTTCCTAACTTGCTAAACTAAAACGCAGACATTTTCAGGGGCCGGGTTTCCTGGGAAGCATCTGGGCCTGTGGTCCTGGAGGAAGGGGGATACCCCAGGACTTCCGAGCCTGTCTGCAGTGTCCATATAACTACCCTGGGTATTTTTTTTAAAGTTTTGCCCTGGCCTGTGTATCTCAGTGGTTAGAGCGTGGGCCTGTGCACCAAAAGGTCGAGAATTCAATTCCCAGTCAAGGGCATGTACCTGGGTGCAGGTTCACAAGCAGAAGGCAACCAACCGTAGTGCCCCTCACATAGATGTTTCTCTCTCTGTCTCTTTCCCCCTCCCTCCCGCCCACTCTCTAAAAATCAAAGGGAAAATAGTAGTATACATCCTGGGTGAGGATTAACACACACAAAAAGCTTTGTATTCAAACAAGTTTGAGACCTCGAGTCAAACAAAGTTAAATAAGCTTCTTACTGCAGGGCTTTAGAAGCTTGTGGTGTTCTCGTGCGGATTCCGCGTTTCCCGTGGGTGTTCTGGCAAGTGGCTCCTGTCTGTTCGTAAGGAAACTGGAATGTTTCCCTTGAGTCCTTGCTTATCACAGTCTTGTCTGTGTATTTTAAAGGCAACTAGGATACCTTGTTTATATGAACTACCTCTACTTTTCATTCAAAAGACAATCATAAAAAATATTTTTGTGCTAACAATCCAATTGCTAGGCATCTCTCATTTAGGTGAACGAATGTTTCATGCACAATAGAATTTCAGTATATTAGGTTACAGTTCCAGGTGAGAAATCTAAGCAGTCCACATTGCATCTGAAAGTTAGTATCCTGTCCACTTCTGGTTCTCTTTGCTGCCTGCCCAGAGGTGGGACAAATAGCCCAGCGCAAGGGCCACAGCGTCTCCACGGAGCAGTCGTGGTCCCTGAGCCGGTGCTGGTCAGAAGGGGGCTGGTGCGCATGGAGCGTGCTGTTGAGGATCGTGACGCGCTTGCAAGGGTCTAACCCAGCGCCTGGCTGCACCCCAGGCCCACTTCTCCCCATGTTCTGAACAGAGAAATCTTAAAGTGATCGTCTTAAAGGGGAAATGAAATGGTGGATGTGGGCAAAGTCATCTGTGCAGACAACTCCGTGAAGCGTATGAGAAGCGAAGGAGGCCTGAGACGGAGCCTTGAGGAAAGTCACTGTGATCCTAACGGTTATAAAGGATAATCTTCTATGAGTAAGAAGAGGGAGGCCTGACAGACGGGAGAGAAACCAGCAGCACGTCTTGTTTTGTATAAACGGGGAGGAGAGTGTTTCCCGGGAGGGAGGTCTCCTGGCCGGGGCTCTGAGTGTCGGAGCCCAGTGAGTGTCGTCTCAGCCCCACCTTCTCCCCAGGTGACTGTGCTTTCCTGTGGCTGGAAATGCTCCGCCTGATGTCCACGCCCTCGGCTGCATGTCTACCCTGCCTTCCTCTGAGCTCCAGGGATGGGTGCAGGATGGGCTATTGGATGGCGCCGCCATGACCACCTTGTCCTGGTGCTTTCGGACCTCTGTGCAGCCTCTGCGTCCGGGAGTCTCCGTCCAGGGACCAAAGGGGAAGCATTACCCCCGGCTTTGGTCCTCCCCGGGGAAGGGGGGCCCAAGGAGGGTCAGGAGCCCACACTCCGGCGCTGTCTGTCTGTCTGGGCGAGGACTGGCTCCCTGGCCGTGTCCGGTGGATGGAAGGCCGGCCAGGTCACTCTGGAGTGGCTGGAAGCTGCCTGTCACCGTGCACTCGGCCAAGCCCCGAGGAGAGCGGTGCGGAAGGGACAGGGGCAGTGACCGAGTGAGGAAACAGAGCAGAGTCCGGGAGTCCGGGTGCGAGTCGTGGGTAATATCTTGGGAAGAGTAAGGGTTCCGGAGAGATCTTCCACCTTAACTCCATCGTGTTCACTGTGCCTCTTCCTCTCATTGATTCAGACTAATTGCAACGTGGTGTCATTTCCCAGCTGTTGACATAAACTGGCTATTTGCCCATTTTTACGTGGCAGCTGCTCAGAGAGAAGGACGGCCTCCCCCTCCCGTCCCCGGCCCTGGGGACCTGCATGGGGATCTGCCTGTGTTCCCTACGGAGCAGCTCTGTCTGTGGCACCTTCTTCTCCCTGAACTTCTGGGCCAAGTTCAGTGTGGCTTTACGCACTCTAAGTTCTTGAAACTCCATCACATACACAAACATATAAAACTAGGTAACAGAAGCAAGCGGTCTTATTTGTGAAATAACTTACTGATGCTTCATGTTTATTCTGGAAGTGCTGCTCAGCATGCCTTTTTTCACTAAACTTCCCAATGTTAGGAAATCTGTGCTTGGCTCTCGTCCTTGGACATCACAGATGAGCTGCTTTTAACTATGTCGGCTTTAATGTTATTGATGGCCTCAAAAATCCCCTTTTAAAAAGTGTAAAAACTCTCCATTTGATTTGAGAAAGAGGACCTGCGCTCATTTTGCCAGGCCGCAATACCTACAGGTGCATAATGTGGTGTCTGAAATGTAGAAAATAAAAGCGGTGTTATGTTTTCCTTTATATGGGACCAGCACAAAATGTGCTTTTTCATATCATCTCGCTTCTTCTCAAAAGGCATTCCTGCCCCACAGAGCCAATGTTCCCGGTTTTGTTTCTTTTCTATACAGAACTTCATAACATTTCTCAACGTACAGCTTTGGGAGAATTCTCTTGAAACTAAGCTAGACATTGGGGAAACAGTAATTCTTATTTTTTTACTTGAAAACTGTA